AAACAAATCCATATAGCAGTGTACTACTCTCTAATAAAAAAGAACTACAAATATGTGTAACAAAATGGATGAATCTTAATCAGTGGGTGAAACCAGATACAAAAAGTATCACTACATGATTCCACTTATATAAAATTCTAGAAAATGCCATTGATAGTGACAGTGGCTGTCTGAAGCCAGGCTGGGGAAGGCAGAGATGCAATGAGGCAAGAGGAAACTTTCAGGAGTCATGAGAACGTGCTGTACCTTGATTATAATGGTGAGCTCCTAGGCGCATCTACTAAAACTCATGCAACTCTAGAATTGAAAAGGACAGTTATATTCTGCAAATTATAACTTTAAAAGATTAATTTTTTAAGGTGCAATATACTATATGCTGTACTAAAAAAATGTATAGAGGAAATAAGAGAACATCTTCAGCTGCCTACTGTCACTCTCTTTGCACCTGCTAGTCCTTGGCAAGAACAGGATGCAATAAATCTCCAAGGACCAACCACACTACACTTGGCTCCCACAGAAAGAACCCTCCACTGTGACATCTCTTAGTATATAAAAACAAGGTGAGGATCTCAGAGGTAACTGGTAAGCAATATGGTACCTATATTATTAACATATAGATCTGAATACATTGTTTTATATTACAGATGCAAAAAACTTCTTGATCTGAGAGTTACCCAGCGCCCAAGTGACTGCCTACACGGCACAAGTATCAGTCTCCAGAAGACACCAGGGATCTGCTGTTCTGCGAAAATCCAGAAGTGACTAAGTTAGTGCCCTCCTTTTAACATTCTATGCTTATAATTTTGCTACTACATTATATCATAATAAAATGTTTTATTATAAACATCACAACTTAGGGATATTTCCTAGCTAATATCCTCAAGTTTGGATACCACATAAGTCTTGCTGCTAGGGTGACAAGGAACTTAATCGTACCTCTTGACCTTCATGAGATTGGTCTTCATATCCATCTTTTTGTTTGTTTTTTCTTATCCAACTTTTAAGGAGTTGAGGGGAAACATCAATGAATTATCTTTAATATTGTCACCTCTATATACCAAGAACATACGAAAATATAATAACAGCACAAGTTTAAGGACACGAAGTGTCATTCAACTAATGCTCTCACAATTGGCAGACTCTGAAAATGTACATCAACCCAATTTAGCGAGTACACATTTTTTAAAACTATGACATCAGAGTAATTTTGCTAACAGCACAATTCCTTGGCATTCACAAAATCTTTACTCAATCTGTTAATGGTCTGGTTTCAGCCAATTACTTAAGAAGCACAGAGTATATTTCTCTTTCAAATAAGACTGATTAAAGGTCTCTTAGATCTAAAGCTCTTTAAATTGATTGTTCCATCAACAGCTAAGTCCATTGCCTTTTTTTTCCTGGAGAATTTCCATCTGTTTCAAGCTAAAGCAATTCTTTCTATATCCTCACTTTTAAAAAGGAAAATTTTTAAGTGACCGGAGTCAAGCATCCCATCAAAATTCAACAGCCATAAAATAAATAAACCACAAAAAAGCTTAAAGTGCAACCAAAATGAAAACACAAAAGAACATTAGGGAATTCTAAAATACAATTCATACCTTCTTCTCTTTACTGTTCTTTTCTTTACTAATAAATAGAAATATCTCTTTTTATAAGAAAACTGAAGAGACTGAACTTCAAAACAGCACAATTTGTAAAGCAAGGATATTGTGTATTTATTAATTAAATAACTACTTATTTAGTCTCCACTATCTCCCAAGGGCCATTATTGTAGGGAAAATAGAGCAAAGAGCCAAATACACAAAAATTCCTGCCCTTGCAGAGCTTATATTCTAGTAGCAGAGACAGAAAATAAAACAATAAACGGGTAAAGTACATGATTGTGAGCCAGATAAAAACAAATATTATGGAGCAAAATGAGGTAAAAAAGTTAGATGGGGGTGGGGGTACTTTTAACTGTGATGATCAAATTAAAAACTCCCTGTTAAAAGTCATATTTAAAAAAAGATCTTGCTGGGTGCAGGGGCTTACACCTGTGATCCCAGCTATTTGGGAGGCAAAGACAGGAGGCTCTCTTAAAGCCATCAGTTCAAGACCAGTGAGGGCAACATAGCAAAACTTCATCTTTAAAATATAAAACATAGAATAAAATTAAATAAAGATCTGAAGACGCTAAGAAAGCCAGCCCTTTAAACATCCAAGACAAAAACTTTTGAGATAAAGAGATTAAAGGTATTCAGAATGAGCCAGATGGAGGATTTAAGAAGTGAAAGTCAAGATACGTAGTGGGCCAAGGGGGAAATAAATCGTGTAGGCCCTTAGAGAGCTGTAAGAATACTGACTTCTATCATAAGCAATATAGAAAGACTTTAGTGGATTTGAAATGAAGGAAAGAAAAAACAAGACTTACAGTTTAAAAGATCCCTTTCAGAGTTCCTAATCTAATAACAGTTGAAAAGTACTTTATATCACATTACTCACCAAAAAAAAAAATTATAATCTCTAAAAAAAAATTTTAAAAACAATTTGAAGACACTGAAGAATGACTCAAAGTAGGCAAAAGTTAAAGAGAATTCAACTCTTCAAAGAAGGGAATCACAACAATACACACAGAAGGACTGTAAATGGCACACTGAATAATAGATTTTAATGAATAAATTGCTCCAGAAACCAAAAAAACAAAAAAAGAAGGTATTCACACAAGGTGAGACATTCATGGGTATACGACTTTCCCAATCCACGTAGCATGCAAAGGCTAAAACTCAAATACAAAGCCTCAGACTTTTTCAATGGAGGGGTCAGCAATCCCATATGTGCCCAAAGAAATGAAAACATGTATCCATAAAATAACTTGTACACAAACGTTCATACCAATTTTGCACATAATAACCAGAAATTGGAAACAACCCAGATGTCCACAAACAGAAATATGGCTAAAAAAGTTATGATATTGTCCTATAATGCAATACCACTCAGCAAGAAAAGAATTATTGATATATACAATAATATCAATGATCTAAAAAATTATGTTGAGGTATATTAGTCAGTAAAAATTACATGAATGCATTTATATTAAATCCAAAAGCAGACAAAAGTTAACTTACAGTGACAGAAATCAAAAAGTGAAGATGAATGTAGAGGAAATTACAAAAACTGGACACTTCGAGATGATTAAAATTTTCTCTATTGTGTGTTCTATATTTTGTTATACAATATGTCTTTTGTTTAGTTGTGTATTTCATGTAAATGAGAGTATATAATTTCTGAAACCAATCAAACTGAACACTTAAAATCTGAAGGTAAATTATATTTAAATAAAAAGTAGTTTAAAAAAAAAAAAGTCTCATTCTGTTGCCCAGGCTAGAGTGGCCATCCATTTTCAAATGTAGGGATCTCAAGAACCTATAAGAAGATACAAAAATTCACAAGGACAGCCTATCCTCAGGGCATGTGCAAATGCACAGCAGTCCTGCTGCTGGCAGGACACAGCTGCTGTCAGTGACAGCAGCTCCAGGTAGGCAGATGGAGGCTTTGAGGAGCCCAAGCTTCAGCTCCCTTTGTCTCAGGGAGTCTCCCCAGTGTGCTACATCACCCTTTCCTTGGTGTACAGGACTCTGTATGGGCTAGAATGCTGAGGACTCTGCTGCTCTGCTAGCTCCAACCAGCCTAATGCTGCTGCAGCCCGCAGGGTGACATGGGGTGTCAGTGGGGCTCTCAGTACATGAAGATACAGGGGTTCCTGGGGCATGATGCAGTCTAGTGGGGGCTGGACTCTTACAACGGTGCCATGCTAAGACTGCCAGAGAGCAAGGGACCCAGCCTTAGCTCTCTCTCTAAAGCAATGCCATTGCACAGATGCCATGGTGCTCCCCATGCCAATTTCAGGAGCTGTGGGGATCAAAGGGTCTCCCACGGTCAGGATTATAGTAGTCTGCAGTGAGAACATGGACCGCTGGGGATCTTCTACCTACCCTGTCCCCACAATGGGGAGTCTTTCCAGGCTAATCCCAGCTCTCTGCCTCACCTCTCTCCCCTTTGGTGCCTTTTGTATTTCTTGTCACTTGTCCACTGAATTCCAGGCTTTTCTCTTAATGTTCTATCTGAAGTGTGATTATCTACTCATTATTTCAGTTGTTCTTTGGGGAGGAGTCAAGTATCCCAAGCTCTAGTCAGCCATCTTGAAGAACTTCCCACAAAGCCCATCTTACAGTGTTGACCACCTCACGTACCACATGTTATGAGCCCAAGAGAAATCAAAATACTAAGTACATCAAAACTGCACTGATCTCACATCACCATAAAATCAACAAATTATACACTGAACCATCTTAATTCAGGGACTATCAATTTTCAGTTTTATGATGGCATAAAAGCAATATATTATTCAGTAGAAATCATACTTCAAATTTTCATCTTTTCTGTGCTAGTGATACGCAGTTCAATACTCTCTTGTGATACTGGGACATGACGGAGAGCTGCACGCTCCGTCAGCCACATAATACAAGGGTAACAAACAGTGCTCCACAGTCTACTGTGTCGTCAGCATTTTTTGGATATTGTGTGTTGTGTTTTCACATCCTATGTCAAGAAAATGCCCATTTTTGACTCAGGATATTTTTAATCGTGTTGAATTTATCAGGATATAATTCCATTATGTTGTGCCATCCTATTCTATGACCCTTTTCCTCCGTTGAAAAACTAGGAAGGGTTAGACCTACAGTTTTCTTTAGGATCTATAATCTGTTGAAGGCTGACAGCTTGTCCCCCTAATAGTATCTGTTTACTGGAATGCTCACAAAGCTCCAGACTATTTAAACTCTTATTTAAACTTTTATCATGGAATTTCCATCATAATTCCATGTAGGTCAAATACATCTCGGCATACTTTCTTTCTCTTACCTGATTCCACCTCTGAACAAAGTATCACATTAAAAACTCTTTATATATAATATTTATCTGTACGTTACGGGAAAATATCTTTGCAGTAGAATATGACATACCTTGTGGGGAGCAAGAACCCTCTGCCTGAACTTTTCAACTGTTTCTTGACCCATGGAAGACCAAGCACTGACAAATGCTTCTGCTTTGTCTTGTGTAAGGTGGATGTTTTCTAACTGGTGCTGCAAAGCCGCTGGCTTCACATTGTGATATACTGCCTAGGAAAGAGAAAAAAACTGCATGCATCTTTCATATTCACACAGAAACCATAAATGGTGATCAATACAAAATTATTTTTAAATTATTTAAATCAAAAGAATATTTCACATTCCTATTCCAGACATTTGTGCTTATTTTACAAATAGTGAAATATAAAACAAAGAACTAGAAGGTTCAGAATAAATTGTTCAGGCTAAATCTTTTTCATTTTTGCCTATGGTTTAAGCAATCCTAACTCCACTTAATCATCTAACTGCTCTTTTGTGTTGGTTATGTAAATGGTACCCTATTTAAAATTATGTTTTCTCACTTTGCTTAATTATGTCAAAGAAGTGTACAATGATTTTATTCCCAACTAACAATTTTTCCCCCAAAAGCACTATCTCAAAAGTATCTCATCTCCCAATTTTCTTAGTAATATGTTAAAAAAATTATAAAATTTTTTAACAGTGATACCTGTTCTGTTTCACTATTCTGGAACAACATCAACCTCATGTTGTACTGTCCTATTCTATGACCTTTTTCCTCAGTTGAAAAACCATTATGAAGGGTCAGAATCACTGCTTTCGTTAGGATCTATAATCTATCGAAGGCTGGCAGTTTGTCCCCTTAATAGTATCTGTTTACTGGAATGATCACAAAACTCCAGACTATTTAAACTTTTATTTTGGAAGTATTCATATTTGATCAACCAACAGGAATTATTGAGGATCTATTTTAAGCCCCAGCAATGTGATAGGCTTATACAAGATACACAAAAAACATAATTCTCGAATCTGGTCAAGGAGACATAACTGACACTTGCAAACTAATGCAAGACTAACCGTACTCTACTATGATAAGTCAAGGACAAAAAATCCAAATAGGGGCAAGTGTAAGGGGCCAAGGCTGAGGTCCAAAGGTGTGACCTCAGGAGCTTATATAATGAATGAATTTAGATGAGAAGATGCAGAATGGCAGCCAGTGGGAAGAACGACTAGTATCCACTTCTTTTTCTAAATGCCCTATTTATCATCCTAGTCAGATATATCCCCCAAATCATTTATTTCCAAATTATATCAAGTAGCAATGAATTCAAATCTTTTATAACTATCTCAAATCAATGAGTCTCAACTCATACTGTCGAACACATTATAAATCTTCAAATGTTTTTACTACATTGCGTTTCTTGAGTAAAATATATTCACAATTTTCACCTTAGATACTTTTTTATAAAAACACAGAATGTTACAGATATCATAGCAATACAAATATGTAATAAACCATAGTGAGGAAATGTGAGGCAGTAAAATACCTGTTCTAAAATAAATGATATTGTTTCAAGAACCAGGTGGAGATCTTGTTTCTCTAGTGAAAATGCAGCTTGAAGTTTTTCTTCCTCTTCTTCACTGAAACTGCTCTCTGCCTACAACATGAATGGAAATCTATTAGCACACATTCAGGCATTTGAAAAACTTACACTTAACAAAAGATTCATTTATTCATATATAAGATGAGAACTTTAAAGAAAAGTGAATACATGGTGAAAAGGAACTGATATGCCTGTAAATTCCTAAAATGTATGGCACCCATTATAGATTTTTACAAACAAAAAAAACTGAATTAAAAGTCATAGTTACGAGCTTCAAAGTTCTGTACTGCGTGCAGCATTTTAAAGAACTGCCGAGATAAATGGAAGATGTGCTAAGTTCAGTTAAGAAAGAAAAGGCAGCTGGGTGCAGCGGCTCATGCCTATAATCCTAGCACTCTAGAGAGCTAAGGTGGGTGGATGACCTGAGCTCAGGAGTTCAAGACCAGCCTGAGCAAGAGTGAGACCCTGTCTGTATTAAAAACAGAAAAGCTAGCCAGGTGTTGTAGTGACCTGTAGTCACAGCTGCTTGGGAGGCTGAGGCAAGAGGATCTCTTTAGAACAAGAGTCTGAGGCTGATATGAGCTATGCTGCCACAGCACTCTACCCTCACCCCACCCCCCAAAAAACAAAGAAACCTGCCTTCTGTGCTTTATATTTCTTGTGTCTAATTTTTGTAATTCCTCCATTTCAGTTCATGATCAGCAGTCACTTCCTGAAGCTGCCCACATTCCCCATGACCACAGTACCTTCATCCCCCAGTCTGCTGTTTCTAGTACTCTATGGTGAGGAAGCAGGCTGTCTACATTCCCCATGACCACA